GTCGATAAAATTCGATTAACACTCACAACTTGGCATACCATTAAACTATATGTGATCGTTTTCTTCAGAGTACTCAATGAGTTGTCTTATATTACATTCAATAATGCAATTCGATATGCAGAAATTTCCGGTTGTAGCTTCCGTAACTCTTTGTCATTTAGTGATAAAATATCATCCCAAATTTTCACTATGGATGAATTAATTGGCCGAATAATATTTGAGACTGAAATAATCACTTCCATCCATTTTTAATTGCACCGATGCCTACAAATCCTCAGAAAATGCTCTAAATATTCTTACAGATGTAGGTATATTCCATATCACTAATGATATTAAACAGTCAGTCAGTCAATTACAACACAGAACTTCATACGTACGTACATCAGTTCAGGTTGCCATAGCACGTTAGCACCGAGATGCTACTGTCAGTTCAAATCCAATAGTGGAAGCGGTAGTAGAAGTATTAGCAGTAATAAAGAAGACTATGGTTCGAAGATCTGATTTGAGAAGTATAATTCAGTGAGATAAATTTAGGAGAAAGATGAAGATTATAAGGAATTCAGGTTTGAATTAGAGAGAACACGAACAGTGGATGCACGTGCGCCATTGCAAACGATTGTGAGCCATGTCGTTCAAGGTCTCTAACCATTCGTTCGCGGATCCCAACCACATAGCCTACATCTACCAACATGACTCAGTCCACTTGTCAGTGACTTCATGGATTTCTGTCATGTTTTAGTTTGGCCAGCCCTAGATTTCTTCCAACCTACTCCTACACCAAAAAACAAAGCTCGTCGAGGTAGTCGATGGTTGCGCATTCGTAATACATCATCATTGATGAGAATCCCAAGATAAGTGAGGCAGTAGACACAATCAACAACTTCTCTTACTATCACTAGTTCAGGTGCCGATACAATGAGATTAAACAAACTTCAAATGTCTAATCATTTTATTACAGAGTTTACTAACTAACTGCCTTGCTTGCAGATATTTTACACTAACAATATCCCTTGTAAATTTAACTGATTTGAATAATATCCAATCCGAACATTGAATAAATAACGTTGAACTTGGTAGTCCTAACTGACCTATCGTTGTAATTATAGCTTACGTTATTCTATACGCTGTTTTAAATTTTATAACAGTAAATAATTATGACTAATCCGTTTTGTGACATCTTTATTCTTCCTGTTTTCAAGTTTATTTCACTAACTAGATTATACTTTTTGAATAATATTTTCGAACCCTAATACTTTTAATACATCTACAAGTGTGAAATTTGAACTGACAATTACATCTTCGTGCTAATATTCTATGACAACTTGAACTGACGTATGTACATACATAAGAAGATTTACGTTGTAGCTGTATAAGTGACTAACAGATAATGATCTCCTCTACAAAGTCTATCTACACATTTCATATACTTGTTTGAGTGATTATGGTTTTCCCATTTTTTTTACCCAAACAATTTGTATTCAAGTATAAGCCAATAGGGAACAGTTATCATAAATACATAGTTTCAAAAATTATTCGTCAATCAATCTCACGAAAAATTTCTTGAAAACAGACTTAATTCGTTGATAGACACTACTATTTGGATATCCGTACAAACTAAATCGAGTTGAATATCACTTTTATAGTCGATGAAGCGTTCAAAATAAAAATCTGAAAGTACAACGTTTAGATCAGAGAGCTTCTTGTAAAACCTGATTTTTACTTTTTCCGAGCTTGGATAAACAGAGACAACGACGTGCCTTAGAATGTATTGTGTCATTTATTTAGATTGAACGGGGTGAGGTGAGATAAAATCTAATCTTGATTGAAGCACTACTAAATTCGTTAGCATGTCCTCCTGTAACTTTTTTGACCTTAAAGCCATGTAAATACTCAAATACACAATCAATCTATTGAATCGCAAGTTCTTTTAGATTCCCCACCTATTCTACTATACACAAGTATCAAGATTTCGAAATTTTAGGAGGTTAAGAAATGTGTTCAAAGAATTCAAACGACTAAAAATGATAAACTACTTTTGTTGTACAGTACTAGAAGTATTTCACACGACAAGCCCCCTACATGGTATCCTCCAGACCAAACGAACAGAGGAAGATCAAAGAACACATTATGCCGAAAATTAAAGACAGACATGCGAAGAATGAACACCAATTAGATAGAACACGAAAACAAGGTCCAGGACTCAAATTAAGTTGGAGAATGTTGGTCGGTGGCCTATGATCCACTGGGGGTAACAGGTATCAGTAAGTATTACGGGGTTGTGAAGATCGTTAAGTTATACATTTTTTGAAACCATGAATCTATCAAAGTTAGACCACCATTAGAAACCTGGAAGCACTGGACGGCCGTTTCGTCCTGGTATGGGACTCCTCAGCAGTGCGCATCCACGACTCCTGCTCCTCGCAGGATTCGAACGGTTAGGGCGTTCGCGCACAATACCGAAGGTCCTGGGTTCGAATCCTGCGACGTGCAGGAGTCGTGGATGCGCACTGCTGATGAGTCCCATACCAGAACGAAACGGCCGTCCAGTGCTTCCAGGTTTCTAATGTTGGTGCTAACAATGATCGATTCATGGTTTCAAAAAATAAGTACGTATGTTTAACATTTTTTTGAAGCTGTAAGGATAATTCATGATTCGTTTTCTTTTGTGTGTGTGTGTGGCTAATAATTATTGATTTATTCACACAAAACAGAATAGAACAATAAACATAACGATCAACCTCGTAGAAAACAAAAACAGGAATGAAAACACACACACAACAATAACAACAAAAACGATTTACTTTTGTACAAATTAGGTATTTTATTTTTCAAATTATCAATGCCACTGATTGATTGTGATCAAAACACATTTCATATACAGAGACAGAGAGAGAGAGATACATACATACAAGTATGTACATTGTGATACAATGATTCTCATATATATACAATGATCTGCTTTTTTTAGTTGACTGAACCTTTTTACATCAGTAGTTGAGTTGAATCTGAAGAAGGAAATTTGAAAAGCAATAACAATGTTAAAAATAACATGAGTAATCTGTGAGCAGACAGAGTTGAATGAAAAGTAATTGACGAAATCAGTAACAAGAGTACATGTGTAAACTGCAAATACGTAAATCATATAATCTTTGAAGCAAATGGAGAGTAATATCAAGGCTAATCTTACCGTTCCAAGTAGAGATGATGAGCTATTCGTATCAGTGTTACACATATCTAACGATAGCAATAATTCCATCTATAAAGAGTGGGTTGTAACAAGACAGAGCTAGAAAAAAAACTTTAAATTTTTCAAATGAGCTACATTGCTGCGTGTTCATAGGACAGTAATCATTCATAAGTGGAGCTGTTATTAACATTTATCTGCATAATATGATGATACGATTGGCATTTACCAGAAGTATACTATTAAATATGCTGCGGCACGAAATTGTATCATATATATATATATATATATATATATATATATATATATATCAACCAAAGCGGTCGGGCAGACATAGAATGGCATGGCTCAGAATCGTTTGCGATGACGCAGGTGCATTCACTCATTTTGTTCTGTCAAATTCTAATCTTCTGAATTCCTCATCACCTAAATATTTCTCTTTTTAAAGTTATCTCATTGAATTATACTTCTCGAATCATATCTTCGAGTCATAGTCTTCTTTATTACTGCTAATACTTCTACTATCACTATCACTCTTGGATTTGGACAGGCAGTTGCGTCTCTGTGATGATGCGGTATAGCAACCTGAATTTGTGTACTCATGTACAAAGTTCTACGTTGTAACCGATTGACTGATTGAGAACGGATATATAAAAGTCAAGTATAAGAGAAAAGCTGTATAATATAATCAACAATAGTAAAATGCCTAATCAGTCTAGAAATTAGGACGTATTATAAATACTGGTCATGGTGAAGGAGTTTTAATTCTATCCTAGTTTTCTTCTAAAAACTTCCATTGTACACTTTTCATAATTTAAACTTGATTTTTTTCCTTATGAGATAAAATTTTGCATGTTTATTTACTCATCAGACATGATATTATTAGTTATTTTGACCATTTGTCGGATTGAAATGAGAAAAATTGGAATAATAAATATTTCTGTCAGTTCTCACATCATACTTGACTGTTTTTTTTTAATTCCAATTCAGTAGGGCCTCTTATCCCCAGCGGAACCCTCTGTCCACCGCCAGCATTCTCCAACCGATACTGTGATCAGCCTTCCATCTCAGTCCTACACAATTTACTGACATTCATTTCATGTCTATCTCCAATTTCCAGTGTGACGTTTACCTCTCAATGTGGTTTACCTCTCTTCTTTTCCGATTTAGGGCTTGACTTGTGACGAAGTTGAGCGCTTTTCGAAATGTGTGCCACATCCACGCAGGTAGTTGTTTTGGGTTCCAGATGTTCTGTACCTTCTGGGTGATGGCTTTCATGGTTATTCCAGTTCCCGGTCTATACAAAAGGACAGTTTTGACGTTTTCTTTGAAAATTCTGACTGTGGTGTTTTTCCATAGTTGTTTCTTCAATTGAATAAATGCTGCCCTTGCTTTGCCCGTCCGTGCCTTTACATCTACATCAAATCAATCTTGATAATAAATAATGCTTCCCAGATTTGTGAAGGTTTTCAAATCTGTCAAACATTCTCCGTCATGTGTGGTTTGATTGTTGCACGTCAGGTTGTATCGCAGAATCTTGCTTATTCTTTGAGTATTTTGAAACCTACTACTGCAGAGGCGGCCGCTAACTTGGTCGTCTTCTCCTGCATTTGTTGTTGCGTGTGGGATAGAAGGGCTAGGTCATCTACGAAGTTCATACAGTCTGACTTCATCCGAGCTGTCAAATATATATTCCGCCCATCTCCCCAGAAACTGAAGTCTTCATAATTCAGTCCTTCTTTGCTAATCTTGATGCGTTTAAATTAATTAACTTATGATTTTAATTAGATGACTGCTAAAAACTAAGAACGACTAGCCAGGCATTTCCCCTTAATATGGGACTCCTCAACTTTACAACTTTGCCGGAGAAATACCAGTGAATTTTTTCGCTCTATCATTTAACAGACCAATAATTCCAAAATCTGATCGATAAAACTTTTCCTTCACACATTTCAAAAGATCTGTGCAGTATGACGAAAGCTGATAGTTTGAAAGTAATCAAAAGTAAACTCTTTCACTTGATAATAATCGTGTCGATTCCATGTAAAGTTTGAATACGCACTGTTGATTTATCTCACACTAAATTGATAAAGTCTTTCAAGGATGTTATTAATACAAGCTGACAAGGATCGCTGCACATGCTGGTTGTTCAAAGTAAACACCTGCTTTCACAGATACAGCAGTACGACATCGACCACAGAACTTTTAGTCTTACCATTTTCTCTAGTCGACCTACCTGGCATAGTAGAACCTACAGGAATATATGTTCCAGCTTATATAGTTCGGTCGGGTTATCACGATTGGGAAGCCTGACTACCTTGTCAAGGTAACAGCTACGGTCGGGATAGTAATACATACAAATCTTCATATTGGAAAAAAACACCATAGTAAATCAACTGTACATACTGTTTATAGCATGATACTAACAATAGGCTGGAAATAATCAAATAAGATATTTAGTCAGAAAAGACCTATAATATTCTATTATACATATTCACATAAAAAGTTGATTTAATCACCTTATACCTGCGAAAAAAAAGGGAGAAGTATTAATTAGTATCTTGAGTTGAATGCATCGACACATTATTATCCAATTCCATTGGTTCATCAATAGTATCCGTAGGAATTAAATGTTCATCAGTCAACTCAGAAATATAGTTTAAAATTGCCAGCTGTTCTTCTAATCTACATATACGTTGATAATGTCGAGCTATAGTTTAACAACAGAAAGAAAAGGCGGGCTGCTATTTAAACTTTTTTGATTAAATAAATTATACTACTGAAAACAGTAAAAAGTAGGTAGTATGCATAAATACAAAAATAAAATTTGAATGGAGTGTGGGTTACTGCATCGAGTTAATGACAAGCTTGAATAAAGGTCACAGTGTAAGTCTACTGCATCATTCACAAAAATTTATACTTTGTGCATAAACATATATTTTACGGATATTTCGAAATCGAAACTCAACGATTTTACAACCGATAATTCAGCAGCGTCAACAGTATGGTATGAGTTCTGTGATGGAGTTACGTTCTCTGAATTGGATATCTCGGTCATGGAGACTTCACTGTTCTTCTGAATAACATTTGTCTGAACTTTGTGCTAATGATGTAGTTCGGAAGAACAATGAGAGCTACACGACCAAAACAACTAGCTCAGAGAACGAAACTCCACCACAATCATCCACCGGAGCTACAAATTTTCTCCACCATCTCAAGTATGAGTTCTGTTTTCAAATCTTCAGTTTAAGTAAGATTAACTCTTAAGTTTCTCAAAACAATTATCTGACGTCGTGTATACATTGTATAATAGATATGTATTATGATTGATATATTTTCAATGAGATAAGACTGAAAAAAAGTGTGAGTTAGTAAGAAGTGAGTAGAAAATGAAAAGAACATCAGAAATAGGTTTAATTCTCTTGGTGTCATTGAGGGAAAAAACATAAACTACAACCACATTTCAAAATGTCGCGAAAGTTGACTATCGAATCGTTTTCTGCATGTGCTATCAGCATAGTACTGGATAAGATTTGTTGTAATCCCTCAATCGAAGTCATGAACAATATCTTGATGATCCTGGATCCATGAGATTCCCTCATCCTACAAGTGCTTTACATAGTTCTATGGTTACATGTTAATACAACTCCTTGTGAATGTAGGATATTTTCTTATTCATGGATCGAATACAACAGTATCTATCCTGAAACTAAACTTTTTTATCCAGCCTGCACTTATTTCATGCACTGCCAACTTGTATCTTATTATTTGCGCAGCAACTTGAGTAGATCTTCCGGTCTCCCATATTGTGAGAAAATTCCAAGTACCTTAATTAATTTTTGCTATGGCTGTGAGGAAGAGCGTTGAACTCATGACTTCCGGATAAACTCAGCTTTCACTGTTCGGCGTCACAACTTCAGTTTGTTCTCAAATGTATGGATGAGCTTGCTAACCCCACACTCAACCCTCCTAATTTGTCCTGGCTTGGAACAAGTCAGTATGAAAGGCTTGAGGCGGACTATGAATGTCATCATCGAAAAGACACTGGTATACATGCAAGATTCTCCGGATCCATCGACTGAACGCCATCAGCAACAACCTACTGTGACAGACAACAAACCGAAAAAAGCTACCAGCGAATGAAAAACGCTGCATGAAACCACCCAGCTGTGTCAAATAGCAAACCCTAACTTGGAATCATTAAGGTCAAAGGAAGAACACATTGCACCGAGAACCAGCGGCAGACTTCACAAAAAAATGAATATCAATTGGAAACAACTGAAAAGGAGAGCACAGAACAAATTAAGCAGGAAAATCACGATCAAGGGCCTATGTTCTACAAAGGAGTAAACACATAAACGTGATTAAGTAAGTAAGTAGGTACGTAGGTAGGTAGGTAGGTAGGTAGGTAGGTAGGTAATATGCTGTGCAAACTAACAAATAAGAAATTAGACACCAATCATCATGTCCAATCAAACAATACAATACAATACAATATACTTACATGTATACGGAAGAAGATATTGTATTGATTGATTGAAATTCGGCCATTCCAATAATTCTTCCGGTGTCCAACGTGTTAGAATCCAATTCAATATAAATTGACTGATCATTGATGTTCTAGTTCTTGTATTCCAATTAATTGCATAAGATAATAGACGTTGACTTAGATTCAATGAATTGTTAACATTTTCACTAGTACTTTTATTGACGAAATCATCAAGGACGGATAATAAGTTTATAGCTTGTGTTGGATATTTAACAGTTTGATTATTATTGCAAGTTTGTTTGACAAGATCTTGAGTTAATAGTTCTATATAAATGTGTAATAATCACAAAACACAATTATCATCAATATAAACCTAATAATAGTCAGTCAGCTACAACGTAGAACATGCTTGCATTGATGCTTATGGTAGTCAGACGGGATGCGGTTCTCACCCTCGAAATGCAAAATGTTGCTTCAAGACTGGGTTGCATCGCAACCTGAACTATTGATAGGGAGTGAAGTAGTCGAGCGTGTTGATCACTTCACTTATCTGGGGAGTCTCATCAGTGCTGATAGACTGGTGACTGACGAAATCTCAGCATGGATACAGAAAGCTCGATTGGCTTTTTCCAATTTACGCCGTTTATGGAGTAGTCGTATTCAATGTAGATCCCAGCACAACTGTGTGTTAACTTCGCTCTTCAAATGACCTTACCGACTGTTGGAGACGGTTTCCATGGGGTAAGGTGGTGTGACCTTTTTAGGGTAGACCTTTTCTAACCCCTTCCTTCCTTGTGAGAAAGCAGTATCGCTGAAGATGCTGGTTGTCCGAGGGGAACAGCTTACTGCTGTCACACTCCTCTACAGTCAGCAGTACGATTTCGCCCCCAGATCTTAAGTTGCTGCTTTCAGTCTTATCAATCTCCAATCGACCTGCCTAGCATGGTAGGACGCTAAAGGAACATATATTCCAGCCAATATCGCTCGGTTGAATAGCTACAGTCGGACAACGGTCTATTAACCCAGGGGTTGTAAATATTAAATCAACAAAACAAGATCAAATGAACAAGAACCTCTTGCCGAAAATTGACATTAGAAGAAGTTTTTAGCAGAAAACTGTTGAACCAAAATTGATTTCAATCAAATATTCACAACATGAAAAACTTACCTTGTAATATATCCAATGTTCGTTTGGGTTGATCTAATTTAACCGCCAAATAAACTGCATCAGCGTACATTTGTTTATGTACAAGATTATCCAGTTCTTGTTGTCTATTAGGAATCAATATGAATTAAAAAATAAAACATACAAGGATAACAACAAACCAGTAATTCAATGGATAAACTCCGCCTGAAGCCCCTACGGGGCTACTGCCGGTCCCAATCCCGGATAATGGAGAAGGGTTGGGTATGGGGATTGCGACCCGATCCCGTAGAAAACTAACTCGCTAAAAGAACGCTAACAACATAAAGTAATTCGAACCATTTAAACTCTGTCCTGGGAGTTAGAATGTCTTCAGTCAGAAGAGTAATGATGTTGTTTCATGATGAAAGCTGAGTTTCTTTGTAAATCACGATGCTGACGACCCTTCTGACAACCAGAGCCTTTTCACGGTGTGGGCAGCTGGAAAGTGACATCCGCCCTCATCCGTCAAAGCACACAATACCAAATCAGTCACAATCGAATCCCTCCTACACCTTATAACTCTTATCTCCACGACCAACCCTTCTTTCGTTCCTTTGTCAACTCGTGCCGCTGATGCGTACGTTTCCAGGAAACGTTATTCCTGATCTCCTGAAATTCCTCTCTAAACTACATTTTGGAGCTTTTAATGTTCACACCTTTTGTCAAATAGGGCAAAATGCTTCATTAGCTAGGACTCTGGGATCACGTGCCATCGATGTGTGTCGCATCTCTGAGACGCGCATACAAAATTCGAGTAAAATCATCAGTCAGATTTCACCTTGTTTAGATAAAGGACGGTCTCCGTTTACTTTCATCTCCGTGCTAATGTGGAATGACAACCTGAACTTACGTACGTACGTACGATGTTCTACGTACGTTGTAACCAATCGATATAGAATCAGTAGTTCGAAGTGCGAATGTTGTTGTGTTATTGGCATTGGAGTATCAAATTCTTCTTTAACAAAACATGTCCAAATTGTTAACTGGAAATATATCTTATATGTTATGACATAAGATTACAACGTTACTATATGAGCATTTTTCAATGCACTATAGATGAAATGCTGAAACTACATCAGTTGAGGTGGTTGGGACATGTGCTGCGTATGCCTAACCACCGACTGCCTCGAAGAGCTTTGTTTTGTAGTGTAGGAATAGGTTGGAAGAAAGTTAGGGGCGGCCAGACCAAAACATGGCAGAAATCCATGAAGTCATTGACGAGTGGACTTAGCCATGTCGGTAATTGTCGACTACCTGGTTGGGGTCCGCGAGATGATAATAATCGATGGTTAGATACCCTGAATGACATGGCTCAAAACCGTTCGCAATGGCGCCGGTGCATTTATTCTTTGTGTTCTCTCAAATCCTAATCTTCTGGATTCTTCAACACCTCTAGTTTTGACTTTCTAAACTTTTCTCACTGAATCATACTTCTTGAATAATATCTTCTAATCCTAACCTCTCCGATTACTTCTTATACCTTTACTACCTCTTCTACTGTTGGATTTGAATTGACAATTATATCTCTGTGCTGATGTGGTATGGCGACATGAACTGATGTACTTACGTACGAAGTTCTACATTGCATCTAACTGACTGACTGAATGCACTATATTATTTAAACATTGTTAATCTTTGATCAGATCCGTGAACTTAACTTTGAGTTATTATTTATACGTGAATAATGGTATTACTACTCAGCTGTACAGACCAAAGTAGATGAATTAGGTTGAGAACTCGCTACACCGTGCTAAAAAATCGAATACCTTTGCCATTAAAACCATCGATCTCTAAAAATAACAAAACATTGTTATTCACTCACTGAAGTTAACCGAATATTATTAATTTTCAATGGTTCGCGCATAATTTACTTACTAGGCAGGTGATCGACAATAGTACAGCACAAATTCTATGCCTTCACTGATAAACTCAAAGAAGTTAAACTTACGTTTGAATATATTCCTCTTGCTGTTGTGATGCTTCTTTCAGTAATATTTCTGTAATATCCTAAGCAAATAAAGAAGGCGAATACATGAACACATAGATAAGAACAGACTTGTTGACATGAATGTGTTTTCATTTTATATGAAGTAGGTAAAGGTTAGTATTATACAATTGGAGGTTGAGGTATTCTAGTTACGGCTTGTAAACCCCCAGGGGTTCAAGTCCCAATACCGCTGATTTCAGTTTGCATAACCGGGAAGTATCAAATTTATTTATCAGGTACTTGTGTATGAGTATTTTGCTTATTCTTTCTGAAGATTTAGATTTATTGTAGGCATCTATGTCGATTCTTCACTGAGATTCAAGAATATACTACGAAATTATGGTATTTTTTCTTTAAAGAATCGTTAACATTAAATAACATCATCAATTCAATGCACATTTCTCCAAAATCATACAAATCACACATTCGTACAAGTAAGCTTTTTGGGACAAAATAAACATTTTTATTCTTGGTGACTTATAGTTAAGTTGAATAGAAGTGACTTCTGAAATTCAGAATGCACATTTCAACCTATTTGGGACTTGTGCAACTTGTAATTATGAATGGTAAAATTGATTTATTTTCGGGCAGTTTTGGAGGTTTGTGTTTTTACACATTTTTGAAATCATCAATCAATCATTGTCAGACCACCATTAGAAACCTGGAAGCACTGGACGGCCGTTTCGTCCTGGTATGGGACTCATCAGCAGTGCGCAATAAGTTTGCAAGGTAGAACTTGATACGTACGTACATCAGTTCAAGTTGTCACAGCCGATTAGCATAGAGCAATGAAATTGTTAGGACGAAGCCTACAGCAGTAGAGGTATCAGTCATGGTAGGAAGAATTAAGAAAATATAGATCAGTGAAATAAAAGTATAAATATTATGAGTAATTCATAAACTTGGAATTTGCTGGAAGACAAAGAATAAATGCACTTGTATCGTTGCAAACGAGTTTCAACAATTTAATTCAGAATGTCTAACGAACGGCTACGATTGACTTGCTGACCCCAACGGGATAGTCTATACCTACTAGTATGGTTCAGATCAACTGTCAGCGACTTCATAAATTTAAGCCGTGTTTTGGTTTGGTAGCTCTTAGCTTCCTTTCAGCAAACTGCTTCACCATACAAAATCGCCCACAGTAGTCGGTGGTTAGGCATAAGTAACACATTTCTAACCCACCTCAACTGATCAAAATTCAGTACTCTATCAATTGTCCTGCCAGCCTTAACAAGTACCCGTTTCCTAACACCATCATTGCTTACTTGATGGTCCCAGGATATATATATATATATCGAAAAGCAGCAACCTAGGAATATTCTCGCTTTTTGGTGGCCATGTTTCACACCTGTAAAGTAGAATGGAACAAACTGCTGTACAGTAAACTCGTCCTTTTGTTAGCAGATGGATATCTCACCTTCGCCATAAGTGACACATAGTGGCAAAAGCCAGTCGGGCTTTCTGTATGTGTGCTGAGATTTAGTTAAACACCAACTCACCAGGACCGACAAAAATCCTGAGATAAGTAAGTAATAGATACGACCAATTACCTAACTTATTATCATAATTCAGGTAACGACACATACCAATTCTGCAGCAACATTTTGCTTTTGCAGTGAAACTGATTGAGATTCAAATGTCTTCACCACAAAACCACCGGAAAATTAATGCCAAGAATAACATTTTAAAAACATCAATAACACAAAAAAAAAACTTTTGAAGTCATTAGAAAAAAAACAACAACATCTACTACCACTTACTTCAAAATAACACAATGTTTCATCTTCACCACCAGTGTAGAAACCGGATTCATTTGGACAAACAGCTAATGACCATATTCTACCATCATGTGCTTCATAAACCTAATGAAGAATTTTCTTCAGTGGATGGTTTATTAGAATTTTCTAATTTTTCGTCAGTCTGTTTCGGTGGCTTAGATATATTCCACAATCTTACTAAACCTTTTTGATCGCTGAAAAAATATTAGTTTTCAAAAAAAAGATAGGCAATAAATTATGACAAGTGTCAGTTTTAAAAATTTGACAGATACCTGTTAGAAAAATATGAGGGAATACAGAATTTCATTGAAATCATGAATCGATCAATGTTAGACCGCTATTCGAAGCCTGGAAGCACTGGTATGTAGTATAGAACATATCAACACTGTTGGGTGCGAGCTCAGTAGTCTATACTTTAAGCGTTTGCTCGCGAAACCAAAAATCCCAAGTTCGATACCCCCCGGGCGATGGTCATGGATGAGCACTTCTGAAGAGTACCTATACTAGGACGAAACGGCCGCCCAGTACTTTCAGGTTCCTAATGGTGGTCCTAACACTTGTCAATTCATGATTGTAATGAAACTCAACAATGTCTACAACCCTACAGAATTATTAGATTAACATACGACTGAGTCAGCGTATATATCGGTATCTCTCACTGAAGTAACGTAGTAGTAGTTAACCAACCAGAGTTATGTATACACGTAGCACTGAGTCGCAATTTTGGTAGTTTGCCAAAATTGAAGTGGGTGATGAAGTGGAATTTGAATCCATTATCTATTTGGTTGAAATTTGACTACTTCAATTTTTGGATACCACTGTTTTTAAATTAAATTACATAGATTTTAGGTGTTGTACTAAATAATTGGGAGCTGGATTGCTCAATCCGATAATTATTGATGAGAAATATTCATATTTTGATATTTGGATTTTAGATAGGACCATCAGATTAGCTGGGAGGGGGGTGGTAAAGTGATAACTATGAACTGAGTCGTAACCAGTGGTATGAGAGTGAAGGAGTATATTGCCAGTTGAAGATTCATTTACTAAGCTGATGTGAATACTCGATAGTACAACAAATGCCGCTGGACCCAAGTCCTGGTGTGAGTGCATCGATAACTAGTACATATAGGACAGTATGTATGTAGCATATAGTTGCGTGAGGAAACTTCTATGCCCAAACGCAATGACTGAGTACGACTTGTCTACATATTCTATATTTGTATATAATTCACATTATCAACCCCGTTCATCTATGCCTGCGAGTATATCACTAGTATACACATGTTCGACATACCTAGGTATACCATAAGTGCACATTAAGCATATTGGGAGAAGTTTCTAAGTCCCATAATGAGAGCGCCTATTATTGCTCATCAGAGCTTCCAAATATGATAGGAATTACAAGTATACCACGATAGGTTGGCCACAGTTTCATTTGCTTCACATGCAATAGACTCTCATGAATTCCATATACATACCGTAGACTAGTGAATGTCTACTTGAATCGTACAGTTTTTCCGTCTGATTTCTTTGGTAAGGCTGAATCGAAATATCTCTATCTAATTTTGTTCTTATCCTATTCCCTAATGTCACATTTTCTTTACAATAGCTATTCAATATTCACCTCAAACAGGTCTACAGACTTTCCTCATTGTTGAGACGAGGTTACTCACTTTCTCAGTGATCACTTGTAAGTATGAGTTGAATTTCATAAGATGATATACTGTTGACGCTGTTAAATCAGCAGGAAACTACAAATTTAAATCTTCACTTTCTAAACTTCCCACGGAAAACATCTTTTATTGTTATTGTGCAAGTAAAGACACACTACTTTAAACATGACAAATGTTTACTCCAATTTCAAGGTTTCTATACATAAAATTGTACGGATTTGTTCAAACCCATTTTCATTGGTTCCTATCAATAAATTGACTTTTCGGACTATTCGAAGTGTAGAAGAGATGTTTCATTCAATAAACTACATGGCGTACAAAAATACAATATACACCAATGAATTTGAATTACATGTAACCAATTAACAACTAGCTAGTGAAACACGATAGGTCAAAACTATGTCAAGACACTTATTAAAGTATAATTCACTAAAATCTATGAGTTAACTTCTATTTGTTATGAATTACAATTCTCCTGTTACCACTCACTCAGTCAGATGCAACGTAGAACTTCGTACGTATGTATGTACATCAGTTCATGTTGCCATATCACATCAGCACAGAGATATAATTGTCAATTCAAATCCAATAGTAGAAGAGGTAGTAAAGTTATGAGAAGTAATCGGAGAGGTTAGGATTAGGAGATATTAATCAAGAAGTATAAAAGTTTAGAAAGTCAAAACTAGAGGGTTTGGAGAATCCAGAA